GTAACAGTCAATGTCAAGCCAACTAATGGCTATGTAAATGGCGCTGTTCCATCGAGGTCTCCAACAATGGTAGCTGAGGTGGATGAGTTCTGTTATGCACTTGGGGGAAAGAGGCCAATTCATAGTATTTTGATTGCCAACAATGGAATGGCAGCTGTTAAATTTATACGTAGCATTAGAACCTGGGCTTATGAAACATTTGGTTCAGATAAGGCAATTTTGTTGGTGGCGATGGCTACTCCAGAGGACATGAGGATAAATGCAGAGCATATCAGGATAGCTGATAAATTTGTAGAAGTTCCTGGAGGGACAAACAATAATAACTATGCAAATGTGCAGCTCATTGTCGAGGTTCGTGAGTGTAGTATTGCACATACCTTTAGTGCTTTGTTTGTGTAAAATTGTAAGTTTATTGCATCATTGAATACCATAATGTGTGCCTAGGGTTATTGACTTGAACATTGTGTGGTCCAGATGGCTGAGATAACACATGTTGATGCTGTTTGGCCTGGCTGGGGTCATGCATCTGAGAATCCAGAGCTACCTGATGCTTTAAGTGCAAAAGGCATCATATTTCTTGGGCCTCCAGCTTCATCAATGGCAGCACTGGGAGATAAAATTGGGTCATCATTAATTGCTCAAGCTGCAGACGTGCCAACTCTTCCATGGAGTGGCTCTCATGTAATGTGTATATGGCTGTGAATTTTTAGATTTTATGATAATCTAAATCTAATACATATGCCATATTTTAGGTGAAAATTCCTGCCGAGAGCTGTTTGGTAACTATCCCAGAAGCCATTTATCAGGAAGCATGTGTACATACAACAGAAGAAGCCATTTCCAGCTGCCAAGTTGTCGGTTACCCCGCGATGATTAAAGCATCATGGGGTGGAGGTGGCAAAGGCATAAGAAAGGTTCGACCGTAAGCCAAACTATGTAACTCATTCTTTGCATTACCCTTCTCTCTAAGTCCTGTTAGGAAACCTGTATCCTCTGTGTCAAGTGAATGGAAATTAGTGACTTTAGTTTTTATTTTCATCAAATTTGGTGTTCGTCTGGTGGGGGCATTCAGGTTCACAATGACGATGAGGTTAAAGCTTTGTTCAAGCAAGTCCAGGGTGAAGTTCCTGGCTCCCCCATATTTATAATGAAGGTTGCTTCCCAGGTTAGAGCGTTCATAATCTCTTGAAATTTAAAGTAACCTGGGATCTTATTCCAATACCTAGACTGTTATTTTTTTTTATCTATTTATTATTTATCATTTTCCTCCAGAGCCGACATCTTGAGGTCCAGCTGCTGTGTGATCAATATGGAAATGTGGCAGCTCTGCACAGCCGTGACTGTAGTGTTCAAAGGAGACACCAAAAGGTAGTTTCTTCAGTGCTTGTCATTGTGATATTAAATTTAGTATACTGTTGCATGATATAACTCACATCATCATTCTTTTTCGTTTTTTTTTTCTTTATTTATTTTTCCTATTTACCCATTGATTCCTCTGAGGTAATATGTCCGTGTATTGATCGTCAATCAGATTATAGAAGAGGGTCCAATTACAGTTGCCCCCCTCGAGACAATAAAGGAACTTGAGCAGGCTGCTAGAAGGTTGGCTAAAAGCGTAAATTATGTTGGAGCTGCAACAGTGGAGTATTTGTACAGTATGGAAACTGGGGAATATTACTTTCTGGAGCTAAATCCACGATTACAGGTTTTTGATTTAACATTGACTTAACTCATGTGATGTTTTATTGGGCTAAGTAAACCAACCTGGACTTGCTCTAAAGGTTTTCTTTTTAGGTGGAGCATCCTGTCACTGAGTGGATTGCTGAGATAAATATTCCGTCAGCACAAGTTGCTGTCGGGATGGGTATCCCGCTGTGGCAAATCCCAGGTCTGTTTAAGAATTTCTATCATCTGAACCTTCTTTGCAAACATGGATGTTAATGGATATTTCTTGGTGCTGACTTTATCAGAGGTACGTCGATTTTATGGAATGGAACATGGTGGAGGATATGATGCTTGGAGGAAAACATCTAGTCTTGCTACTCCATTTGATTTTGATAAGGCAGAGTCAACCAGGCCGAAAGGTCATTGTGTAGCAGTTCGTGTGACAAGTGAAGACCCTGATGATGGTTTTAAACCAACAAGTGGAAGAGTACAGGTCAACATTTTTAGACTGAAGTTTGATTTCTGCATTATTTGCAGTCATTTGGATTGCTTTCTAACTCAAATGACACTGAACAGGAGCTCAGTTTCAAAAGTAAGCCTAATGTATGGGCATACTTTTCTGTCAAGGTACTTATCCATACTTTTTTTTCTGAATAAACATTTAAAAAAAAAAAAATTAAGCTGCTTCTGATTAACATCTTAATCTTGCAGTCTGGAGGTGGTATTCATGAATTTTCAGATTCCCAATTTGGTAAGTTTGGAAGTGTGTTGAGGCCTTTTTACAAAAAATGATATCCAGTTGGCGGAGTATGACTAGTTATATAATGTAGTTGTGTATATATGTCATGACCTCTTGCTCTACTCCCAGCATGTGCTTCCCTTCTAATGTGGACGTGTGGATGAGATTAGTCTTTATTGTGTTGTTACTCAAGACCTTTAATTTGTGGATGACAAGCCTGCAACAAATGTTTAAAGCTAATTCTGAACCTATATTCAGAAAATCTTATTTGAAAAGAATTTCATGTCTTTTTGAAGATTATTCATTAGTTATATAGTTCTATCCATTTTATCAACAAAGATTATTTATCTACAGCGTCTCTCGCGGTTTGTGATTAGTCAATATATCTCAGCTATCTTAAAAATTCAGAAATGAGAACATCAAAATATATCATAAATTTAATTCGGGTGCATATTTGCATGGTCGATACTTTACTTCATAAGTTGGTCCATTTACTTGTTTATTCACACACACACACACACACACACACACACACACACATATATATATATAATGATTTTTGAATCCTGGACCTGGTAATTTGATCTGGAATTTTCTTAATCATATCAAATGAACATGGCTCAACATGAGATAATTATGTAATAAGAGACAGTTGTCATTCCTTGTATGGTTCCGAGCAGCCCCCTATACTTGTTTTATTAATATGAACATGGGTATGCATGTGTATGTTTCAGCTGAGGTGTTTACCAGTGTTGGATGTGTTTTTCATAGTCTGTATTCACTGTGTATTCTTTAGTTTACTAGAAA